TAGTAATTCCAATATAGTTCAAACTTCTTTTCAACAATTCCACATACTTTCAAAATCAAAACCTTTTAAATAAATACTTGAGAATAAAAATCTCATATTAATAACTTTTCAAAATCAATAACTCTTCCTTGAAAAACCTTCTATTTAATTCAATAAACTTTTCAAATCAAATCCAAACATGATAAGTAATTCAAACCATTAAAAACATGATTTAAAAATCAATCATTCAAAATACTTTTATCAATACCTCCAAACATAATTTATTTCAAAATCATAATTCAAATCAATTTAATTCAATCACCAATCAAATCATATAAAACATGTTATTCAAACCAATCACTTTCAAAGGTGCTAGGCACCTAACGTACCTTGATCCTTGCTTAGCTATACACACCAAAAGAACCTCAAGAATCTTGGTCAAACACACCCTACAAATAAATATAACCTTAATCAATATAAGGTTAACAAATAATTAAAAACCCCCAACTATATGTACATGAACCTTTTAAATTATTTTCTCATAAACATCATTAAAAATATGATTTTATATAATTAAAACTACTCATCATAATTTTTATAAATCCCCATAATAATAATAATAATAATACTTGAATAAGAGAAGAGAAGAAGAAAAGATAAAAAACCAAGGAAAAGAGAAGAATTGGATTTGCGTAGGAAATAATAGGCAGAACTTGTAGAGGCTATAACTCCTTTAATATAGCTCCGAATTGGGTGATTCTTGAGCCTAACCTCAAGGACCTTTCGAGAGGAACAACTTTCTGTGAAACGTCAATACCCCAAAAACTGACCAGAAGTGCCCGAAAATTGGCTTCAAAGATAAACGGGATGATTTGTGTAAAATTGAGGAGAAGAAAAGAAGAGAATTGGTGTGAAGAATGTGAGAGGTATGAAGGGGTATTTATAGGCTAGTATGAGCATGAATTATGGTAGGAAAATGTCGGAAGAATTATGGTAATTAAGGTTTAAGAGATTACTTGGAGAAGTGAGTAAAGAATTAAGGAAAGTTTGGATATTTGAAGGGATTGTGTATAATTGAATATGGAAGGTATGTATGTCATGGAAAATATTAAGGAAATTGGAATTACTTGGGGAATAATTAAGAAGAGTGAATGGCAAGAAAATATAATGATTGGATATCAAAAAGATGGAGAATTAGAATTATGGAAAATAAGAGATTCCCTTATTAGTATTTAGGAAGATTTTGCTCGGTTTAAGGAATAAAAATAATTGTGTAAATAATATAGAATAAGTAAATAAATAAATAATTAATTAAATACCAATTATTCACCAATAATTAACTAAGAAAATCAGATTTTCTATACATAGAAAATCCGAATTTCCTAGCTAAATAAATGGGAATTTTCGGCCATTTAATATAATAAATAAAATATAATTTTGCTTTAATTAAAATATCCGAAATATGTAAATAATCCGGTTTTTAAGATAAGATAAATGGATAATAAATCTTATCCAAAATAATGATTAGTTTTCAAAATGCTTTTGACGCCAAAATTTGAAATTATTTTGGCTCCAAATAATAAATTTACTAAAATACACTTTTTATAAAATACTTCTTAACTAATTAATTGGAAAATACGTATGAAAATACAAGGTATTACATGGAGGCCTTATACAGATTGGAGGAATCGTATTGGTATGCTAGAGCAAGGGCTAATGAGCTCCGTGATGGGGATAAAAACACTAAATATTTTCATCATTAGGCGAATCAGAGGAAAGCGCAGAATAGAATTAAGGGCCTCTTTGATGATGCGGGGGAGTGGTTTGAGCAACGTGTGGACTTGGAGAGGTTGATTTCTGCCTACTTCTCTAATCTTTTTGCTACTAGTTCTCCGACTGGTTTTCAGGATTCTTTAGAGGGCATTGAAAGGGTGGTCTCAAACGACATGAACACCATGCTTGACTGTGAGCCGACTTTGGAGGAGATTAGAACTGCTCTTTTCCAAATGCACCCTAATAAAGCTCCCGGCCCCGACGGTATGCACGCTCTTTTTTTCCAAAAATTCTAGCATATTGTTGGTCCTGATATCGTTGCCTTTGTGAAGGATTGGTGGAGGGGGGACGTGGATTTATCGGATGTTAATAATACTTGCATTGTTCTTATTCCGAAGTGTGATTCTCCATCTCATCTAACGGAGTTCCGACCTATTAGCTGCTGTAATGTTATTTATAAAATTGTGTCGAAAACGGTGGCTAATAAATTGAAGGGTATTTTGGATAAGGTGATTTCCCTTAATCAGAGTGCATTCATTCCGGGTCGGTTGATTTCTAACAATGCTCTTGTTGCATTCGAAATTTTTCATGCTATGAAACGTGGAGGGGAGGGGAAGGATGGTAGTATTGCGTTGAAGTTGGATATGAGTAATGCGTATGATCGGGTGGAATGGGTCTTTTTGGAGAAGGTGATGTGTAAGATGGGTTTCTCGATGGCATGGGTTGGTAGAATTATGAGCTGCTTACAAAGTGTTCAGTTTGCTTTCAAGATCAATGGACAGATTTCGGGGTCAGTTGCTCCTTCTAGGGGCCTTCGTCAAGGTGATCCGATTTCACCATATTTATTTTTATTATGTGCTGACGCTTTTTCGTGTCTGATTAATAAGGCGGCTAATGATGGGCTTATTCATGGGGCCAAGATCTGTAGAGGGGCTCCCCGGGTGTCACATTTATTCTTTGCCGATGACAGTATTCTTTTTGCTAGAGCTAATACTCAAGAGTGCTCTGTGATAGCTAATATTATTAGCAAGTATGAGAGAGCTTCGGGCCAGAAAATTAATTTAAACAAAACTGAAGTTGACTTTAGTAAAAAAAGTTTGCATCAACCGTCGGAAAGAAATTGTGGATACTTTGGAAGTTCGGGAAGTTGAGAAACACGAGAAATATCTTGGCTTACCAACAATTATTGGCAGATCGAAGCGTGCTATTTTTGCCGGATTGAAGGAAAGGCTATGGAATAAATTGCAGGGTTGGAAAGAGAAGCTTTTGTCTATGCCGGGTAAAGAGGTTTTGATCAAAGCGGTGGCTCAAGCGATTCCAACCTATATGATGAGCATTATGAGGATTCCGGATGGTATCATTGATGAAATTCATTCTCTTTTAGCTCGCTTTTGGTGGGGTTCTACGACATCGAGGAAAAAACTCCATTGGCAAAAATGGGAGGAATTATGCAAACCGAAATGTCTTGGAGGTATGGGTTTTCGTGATCTCAAATGTTTTAACCAAGCTCTATTGGCAAAACAATGTTGGCGTTTACACCATAACCAAGGTACTCTCTTACATTCTATTTTGAAAGCAAAGTATTTTAAACATTGTGATGTGTTGGAGGCTAGTAGGGGTTTCGACCCTAGCTATACTTGAAGGAGTATATGGGGTGCTAAGTCTTTGCTTCTTGATGGTTTGAAATGGAGAGTAGGGAATGGAAGTAGTATTTCGGTTTGGGATTCAGCATGGCTGCCTGGCCGTTCATCCGTGTGTGTGCCAACGCCATTGCCTCATAGTAATATGGAGCTTCGTGTGTGTGATTTGATTGATCATGAGGCTATGATTTGGCGTGAAGATGTGATTATGGAGAACTTTAATGCTGTAGAGCAGTCACAAATCTTATCGATTCCTTTATCTGTGAGAGCTATGAATGATGTGATGTATTGGTGGCCATCTAAAGGTGGGGTGTATTCAGTGAAATCGGGGTATTGGTTGGCTAAGCAAGGTGCTGCAAGTGCACATCCCCAGCCGCTTAGTGCTGTATGGAGATTAATTTGGGGTATAAAGGGTCCTCCAAAGTTAGCTCACTTCCTTTGGAAATCTTGCAAAGGCTTCTTAGCAGTCCGGGAGAGACTAATTTTTAGGCATGTGGTGGACAATGCTACATGTTCTATTCGCAGGTGTGGAGATGAATCTATGATCCATGCTCTGTTTGAGTGTACTGCTGCTCAAAGCATATGGGCAGTAACTTCTCCTTGCTGATATCCCAGGCCCCGTCTAATGACTTCTGCGATAGACTTCTTTGGCTAGCTGCAAAAGTCAGCAGTGCTGAGCTGAGAGCGATTGTTTCTCTTGCTTAGGCTGCTTGGTGGTGCCGAAATATGGTGGTGTTTGAAGGCGCAAATGTTTGCCCGGTTAGTGTTGCTTCAAACCTCCTCAAATCTGTCTCTGAGTATGGTGAGTATGCGAAGAATATGTTTATGGGGTCTGCTGTTCCGAGGCAGCAATCTGCTAGTTCGTGGTCTCGGCCTTGTGGTGGAATGGTGAAGATTAATTGCGATGCTCATGTGGGTAGTGTGACAGGGCTTGGGGTGGTGATCAGGGACGAGTTTGGTAATATTTTAGGGGCTGCTGTGCGTAGGGAGAGAGCTGGATGGGGGATTGATGATGCTGAAGCCGCGGCTTGCCGTTATGGACTCCAAGTGGCTGCTAGATTGGGCTACAATTCGGTGATTCTCGAGAGTGATTCTGCCAATGTTGATGGTGGTGTGAAGAAGAATGCTGCTACTTTCACTCCTTTCTCTTTGCTTGTGGATGATATTTGTTCTCTTTCTCGTAGTTTTATTGATTTTTCTGTTTCTTATGTTAAGCGTGCGGAATATTTTAGCCCACAATGTTGCTAGGTGGGATTCCAATGGTTGTAACGAACGTGTTTGTTTAGGTCCTTTCCCTCAAAGTCTTTTAGCTTTGGCGGAAATTGACCTCCTTTAATATATTTATCCGTAGGTGTTTTCAAAAAAAAAAAAAGTAAAATCGTAAGGAGCATATGTATAGCCAACTTTGCCGCATATTCCTATTTCACTTTCACGAGTCCAACAGAGAAACCTCACTCCTCAGCTTTAGTACTCCATCGCCGGTTTCAGAAAACCATCTACATTGCAGGTTTTAAAAAAATATTTTGAGCTCCGTATTAGTTTTTTTCATAGTTTTACGATTTGTCAAATTAATCATAACGTTTTCAATTCTCATGTAGTATTAATACTTTGTTTTGCGTGCTATATGCAAATATGCAATCGTACACTAAAAAAAGAATAAAAATTAGGGGAAAAAAAAGGCAACAAACCCTATTTGGACCCTGCTAGACCCATAGGGTCCGGGTATGGGAATAAAATTACAGATACGGGTATTACCAAACCCCCTAGTCAAGGGAGTTAAATTTAAAATTAAAAAAAAAAAAAAAAAAAAAAAAAGAGGTAATCTCAAAAAATTTGAAAAGTAGAGGGGGCTATTTACAATTTTTCCTTAAATATTAAATGAAGTATAAATTTCCCAAAATAAAATCAAGATAAACCCTCAACCTCCCACAAGATAGTACGCAACGACTGAAGCAAGGATTCACGCAAGGGACAAAACAGGTACTTCGCATGATTCCTGTTTTCCATTTTCTTTGATTCTCATTTTTAAGAGAATTATAATTATAATTATAATTATAATTATACTTTTGATTTTAATTTACCTTCAACAGTGCAATAGTGATAAATTGATTATGAAGGTTGGACAAATTGTAATAATATTGTAATAAATAAGATTACTACCAAATCCACAGCACTTTTTAATTGTAATAATATTGTAATAAATAAGAGAATTATAATTATAATTATAATTATAATTTTGATTTTAATTTACCTTCAACAGTGCAATAGTGATACATTGATTATGAAGGTTGCACAAATTGCTCTAATCTCAAAAATTGGGGGTTTGCTTCTACGATCATTAGCTAAATCCACAACTTTAAACCTCAAAGTTTCAATTTCTCAGCAACAGGTAAAGCCTCACGTAGCATTCTGCAGCCAATTTTTTTTTTAAATTTTGGAACGATTTCAGCCTTCCACAAATTCCTCCAAAGATTTAGGATCAGAAACCCAGCTTTTTTCTTACTCTCAAGCTCCACATAGTAAGCACTTTGACAGAAAAGTTTCCATCTCGTCTCTTCGGAGACATCTGATAAAATTGAAGATCCATCTCTTGAGTACCTCCAGATCCGGAGTCTTTATCCTCAAATTTTGGCAAAGGAATAGATAGAATATTTGCCACAACTACCTGCTTGGTTGGTCCTGGGTCCAGGCACCCTTCCTAGAAGGTGGTCTGTTCTCTGAGTCCAGTTTTGCTGTTCTGTCTTCCTTGGTGAACCCTTCCTAGAAGGTGGCATCACTGTAGTCAGAACTTTGGGTGGTTTGGTTGCCTGTCTAGGCTTGTGTAGTTGGGGGGGGTGGGGGGGGGGTGTTGGTGCAACTTAGCTTGCTGTAAGTTGTACTTTTTTCTTGCCTTTGGCAATAAAATCTTTATTTACCCAAAAAAAAAAAAAAAACTACCTGCTCGGTTGGTCTGGAACCCACAGGTCCTCCCAGATCCGAATTGAGGCACCACTACCCACCACTTTCATAATACCTCTTTTCAGTAAATCCCTTGCGGATAAGATAGATCTCCAGGTATAGCTTCCACCTTATACCTTGACCTGGATCAATAAAATACAACTGCCATCAATTATTAGAATCTATTATATAATGCGATTATGAAATTGTGTGATTATGTTAATTAGAATCTATTAAATTGATAACCATAACCTCCATTGAAGTCACCTGGGTTTGAGTACTAGACGCATCCATGGAACAAAACGGACAGACACTAACTAAATGATCAGAAAGAAGAAAAGACGGACTAGAATAACACTAAAAGAAATGCTAAAACTGGAAAAGACACTTAACTAAAGACCTTCCCTAATTAAAACTTACTCTAAAGACAACAAGGGCAGCAGGAGTTAACCTCCTGAGTCATTAATGTAGAGAGAAAAGCTTTTAGAGATAGAAACCATTTTTCTTATGAGCAAATTAGAACTCACCTAATACCTCTTTTCAGTAAATCCCTTGCGGATAAGATAGATATCCAGGTATAGCTTGCACCTTATACCTTGACCTGGATCACTAAATACAACTGCCGTCGATTATTAGAATCTATTATAGTGTGATTATGTAATTGTGTGATTATGTTAACTTGTTTTTATTTTGTTCCAGGATCAAGAAATACCACTTTTCCACAGTAACAACTGAGAGATTCAACTTGGTGCAAACACATGTAAAAGCATATAAATTCTTGATTTCTTGAACAACAAACCATTTGACCCAAACATAGACCCACTTTTCACAATTCATAATCTGATTGGAAAACCACCCATGGAACCAAGAGCAATTGCAAAGTATCAGGTAAAAAAAAACATTTTGATAGGTTTTTGGTATTAATATTGTGTTATGCATAGGCCTCAAGTAATTTACACTTATACTTGTCGTAACAAAAAGATTAATCCTAATATTAATTAGAATGTTCTTTGCTGTTATTTTTGGCTGTTTATTTGTTGTTATGATTGGTAGCAATTTTGACATTATTAGCTAGCCAATGAAATGAAAGGAAAGTGGTGATGGAGATGGTATGTTGTATCTAGGAGGTTGTTGGCTATTGGAATTTTCATTCAGTCATGTTGAGAGAAAATCTTTGTACTGTACAATAGCCGTGGGTTGTATTAGGTTTTCCTTGAATCAATCAAAGCTCCTAACTTCCCCTATTTTGGCGTTCTTCCTCTAGTTATTCAATCCTGCCTTACTGCTTTCATTGTTGTGCTATTGTTGAGTGTTTGTTGTTAAAGTGAGTTCAACCAAGTCATAACATATTGATAATTGATTCAATTGCAAATACTGCGAATATGATGAAAATTTTGATGATTTTGGCAATTCTATTTTTAGCTTGTCATTAGAGCTATGAGTGAGTAGTACTCTTTGCTAGGGGTGAGGGAAATCTTTGCAAGTTCAATATAGTTAATAACTTATTTTTTTCTACAGGATGAAGTGATGTCTAGTCAATTGAAACAGGACGTTCTCAAGAATTGGATGTGCCTGGATGATATGGACCCCATTAGATTTGTTCGTAAGCGTTATGACAGATATGCGGCAAGACAGACAATAATAACAAATCAAGTCCAATTCTTCGAAGAAGCAATCAGACTAAGAAAGTTGTTTGACCTGGATTTTGTGGTTCCAAAGATAGGTATGACTTCCTTTTTTTTTCCTAATTCAGGATTAAACCATGTAAATTATAAAATGATGTGTAAATTAAATTGGCAGTGGAGGCTATTTCGATCAAGAGAAGGATCATTGCAGGTGTTGTTTGGGACCAAGTTCAGGGTCAAGATTTTATCAGGGAGCTTACACTGGCTACTGACTCGGCTTTTCAGCTAGCGTTCAGATTCAAAGACAGTGAGCATTACCTATTCGAGATAGAGATGAAGGTTGACACTGAATTCAACAAAATCCCCCCAACTATAGACAACACAAACACCAAAAAGCTGCCACAGTTTTTTTCTGGTTTGATTAGTTTCGTTCTACTTAGTTATATCTTTCTAAGTACTTATGGTCTGATATACTGTAATGATTCAGTAAAACCTTGTCTATAATGAGTCAAAAACAGTTCGTTAAGAGTAAAATTTAGTTCTGTTTAATAGCCTTCAAATGCTACCACATTCAGTTATCATACTTATGATCAATTGGTTTCTAATTTGAGCAACTTACATTAATCACCTTCCTTTATGAAAGAATGTATAAAGGCATATAATAATACAGGCATTGTAGCCTCTGCATAACCCCAAACCTATTAAATATACAGTTTATCAACATTTTATGGCACTCATTGGTAAACTGTTTGTTCACTCTTCCCATCCATCCACTTTCTTTTAGGCTCCGTTTGTTTTATCGGAAAACCATTTTTCACAGAAAACTATCTTCCAAGTAAAACAATGGAAAATATAAATGCAAAACACATTTTCAATTGTTTATTTGTTTGTTTGTTTGTTTGTTGATGGAAAACCTAGGGGGGGAAGGATGGAAGGAGTGAACATGGAAAAGTAAGGAGTATGGTGGAAATGCCGCATAAACAACCTAGAACTGAAACTCTACAGTAACAAAAGTAATCAGTCAATGCCAAAAAACTTGATCACTAGTTTTAAAAAAGTAATTTAAAAAAAAAAAAAAAATCTACATACCATGTTGCAAGCCTCATGTATTGTTTCCATAAGTCACTTCCTGCTTCCCTGCCACCTCCAAAGGCACCACCGATTTCAGCATCGTTTGTGGGGATGTTTACATTCACTATGCCACCACAGGCCTGCAGCAAAACAATTGTGTTAATTGAGGAACACCATGGTAACTAGGAATACAAACAAAAATTTTGAGTTTATCCTCCATGGTATGATAATTCCATACTGCAGAAGAACAAGCAATAGCACTAACCCGATCCATCTGAAGTAGCTTCTGAGTGAAGATGAGCTACTTAAACCCTGGGGAAGGAGTTATTTATTTCTATTGCCTAGAGTCTGCATGATGTAGCGTCAATCAAATGACAGTGAAAGTACATACAAAACAGCTTTTGTCTGAGACAATAAATACAAACTGATTTCAGGCTTGACAGAATTTGTAATGGTGGGGTTCTTGTCACATATAATATGGACAATGAGGTGCTGTAAGCCGAAATGTTCTTATGTGAAGAGGCCAACGGAAACTCCTACAAAAGAAGAGTAATATGAATTTCTTTTGGTGGGGTTCTTGCCACATATAATTTGCCGATCATTTTAAGCTTAGTTGCAACAATCTAGAACCAATAATAGTGTACAGATAAATTATGCTCAAACGCTTGTAATCTTAACCTTAAACTAATGTAGCTGGATAGCAATACTGTTCTTGTACCACTTTTTCTTTTGAGGAAGTGTGAAAGGCAAATAAGGTATCCCTATCTACTATTCCAACTGTACTTTGGTTATGGTTTTGGTTTAAGACATTGGTATTTGTCCAAGTATCCGACTTGGTTATTCCATCAGAACCAGTCTATGTAACTGGTCTACTTAATTGCATGGAAAAGAAACCTGCGCTAATCCCAATACAAGGCCAACAGTTAACCAATCTCATCCACAAGCACATTTTATACTCACTGCTTGTGGATGAAATTTTTTGGAACAAAGAAGAATGCCAAGAATTTTTTGAAGGGGAGCCTTGGCGCACCGGTTAAGGTGTCGCTGCCTGACTTTGAGGTCACGGGTTCAAGTCCTAGGAGCAGCCTCTTGTCAAAAATGACAAGGGAAGGCTTGCCCCTTTATACACCCTTGTGGTGGGACCCTTTTTTCCCGACCCTCGCCTAGCAGGGACGCCAATGTGCACCGGGCTGCCCTTTTTTTTTTTTTAAAGAAGAATGCCAAGAGTTCATAATCATACTTCAGAGTCAAGGATTCGATAAATAATCATGGTAGAAAAGATAATCTGAGTAACAGAGCTTATATGCTCTGAAGTTTCACTTCTTACCTTAAAATTTATAACTGCTCACCAAGATGCCAAGGAAAACCATATTCGTCAACAATGAAGCTGCATTCAGCATAAATAAGTTACTTGAAACTCATCATCACAAAACTAACTCATAAACAATATGATATGATAACAATATAATATGATCACATGTTTCAATTATAACCAAAGAATGAGCAGAAATTAATTGTTAATTGAACGATACAGTGTACTTGATACAAGCAGAGTAAATCAAACTTAAGGGGGGGCCAAAGGAGTACAAGAAACAGCATGACTTATGGTCTTTTCTGAAAAATTCGGGTACATATTCTGACATTTCCATCTGTGCATGTGTTTATGTTCTTGAAAGACCAAGCAACGAAGTTTCATAATACTTTATCAATCATTAACTTATATTTATCTAATTTCAAGATTCCTCAAATCCTATAAAGAGTTAAGCTGTTATTTTCCCAACAATCATGCAAGGCTACGCTTTATTATGCTTATAGCTAAAATCTACTATACTATAAAGTATTTCCAAGAACACACAACAAGAGCTGGTGCCACACTCGACATCTGATTATTCAGTTTGCCAGTCGAAGGCTGAGGTGCAAATAAGAGTATGATTCTAAGGGTCTTACTATGATATTGCATATACTGTAAGATTTAATCTGCTAAAACTGACAATCTTCTTCTGATTTCTGAATGCAGCTTATATGATACTGCAGTTACTGATATGCTGCCATCAGTGATCACTTGCAGTAAAAAAGGTTAAACACTGCAGCTAGACACTACACATATACATCACCAGGCTTTCAACTAAGTAACCAAGCTCAAACCATCTTTATTCTGATTAGATGTTACTTCTAAAACAGAACATGCGATCAATACATAGTTACATACTGTGCCCCAAAGATTGCTAACAATAACATTTCAACTATAAGGCCATTCCCAAACCACCATTATTGTGATTCGAAATCACATTTAAATCAAAACATGCATTCAATACATATTTTACCCCAAAGATTGCTACCAATAACAGCGCTTTTTCCATCCAAAAACATCTATAGCAGTAGCCAAAGCTTAAACATCTAGTTTAGCAAGCAAATTATGCACTAAATTGGAAACCTATTTATTAAGATAGATTCAACAGTGCATAAAACAAAACCTGTCTCCTAGTCTTAGTCTTTAGTTCTTTACTACGCACAGTACGAAGTAATAGTGATTGGTTGCATATTTGCATAAGCTCTTTACAAAATATAATCTATATGGGTTACAAAACTTATTGAGTGAAACAAAAAATCTTATGCAAGAATACAAAGTTACAACATCAAAACGCAAAGCTAAAAACTTGGTAAATATCAATAACTTAAGTATACAATTCAAGCAGTTAAAGAGTAGAGAAGAATAACCAACTGAGTGAGAGGTCAAATCTAGCAATGATTTTGCAAGAGGGACGATGCAGAACCTAATCAAACATCAAAAATACATACATTGAAATTAAATTAAATAGATAGATAGATAGATAGATAATATAAACATTTACAAGAAAAAAATAGAGATAAAATTAACAATTAAAATAAATAAATAATAAGTAGTGGTAGAGGAATTACATTCCACGAGCACCAGCAAAAGCTTATTGAGATGGGTTTATCTAAAAGGAATCATAGTTTGGCCATGAATATAGAGTGGTTATCTAACATAGAATTTTGCAGTGTAAGAAGAGACAAAGAGAGAGAGACTAACACCCAACCGTAGCGGCGGTCAAACAAGAGGCGTTTGTTGAGGTTGCTGCTGATTTCCTGCTACTGTTGTTGATGCTGTTAGGAGTAAGAGTAGTAATTGGCAGTGATATATCAGTGATTTTGATCCCAATTATTTTATTTTTTTGTACGGAGTATAAAAATTAATTTAGAAAGAAAACCTCAAATTAATTTAATTTAATGTCAGAAAATTGATAACATACGATGGTCTACTGATGGAGAGAAGTATAAGAGAATCAAAGGAATGAACATAGGTCGCATGCGGTGATTATGCCGTAGTTTATGAACTCTGAAAAAGTAAATGGAAAAAGGAAGGAAGAAGAAGAAGATAAAAAAGATAAAACGTGAAAATCAATTGAAAAAATATACTGTGAAAATAGGGGTGAAGTAAGGGTAGGGGCGTCAAATCACTGTTCATCAATGAACAATAACCTTACCACAAAACACTTTTATAGTAGTAAGATAAGATATATATATATATATATAGACACACACACATTATAGGTCATAAATTTCAATAAGAGAGCAAATATCAACATTAAAACAATTCACTCATATGTAAAGGTTGTAAACAATATATGAGTAAAAATATTACAATCTACCTTTAGAACTTCCTGTAAAAGAAACAAATGCAATGCGTGTATCTTTTACAATTACTTGACCGATTTCAGCCACACCGCAAAGGGAGGTGAAAATTGCTCCTGACAAATTATTCTTCTCAAATGCACCAGCTATGATATAGGTTATTGCAATGGAGTTGTTGGGGCACCTGAATTCAATGGAAGTGTAGCATTAGATCCAATCAAATTAAGCATACCTATGAGACTCAAATGCAATTTCTGAATGATCAGCTGAGGGAAATTTGGAAAAGGGTAATAAAGAAGAAATAATGACTGTATACAAGGGTTCAATACATACATTTACTCTACAGTTTATGTTAGGTGGGCTTGTCTTTATGTGTGTGTGTGCACGTGGGTGGGGGGTTTGTGAAGGTTGTAGCCACGAACGATAGAGTAGACATGTACTAATTATGCACAACCAGATCTTGTGTGAAATAGATTACATTCTGCACAAGGCATATCAATATGAAAAACAAAAGGAGTCCACAATTTTACAAGAAAAATCAGCAGAATGACAAGTAACATGACACAATGCCACAGTAAACAAGAGTCTTTCAGGGCTTCAGCCTTCTATCAGTTTATTTTCATATCATCTATCACCTAAACACTAACAGAATCAATAGGCAAACTGTACTGCTATAACATTGGCATACTATGGTCTTGGCCAGTAGTACGATGAAGAATCCAAACATTACAAAGTATCAGATGATTCAGCTCTCACATGCTTAATCCTACTGGCCACAATAATATACTTGGGCCCAACATTAAAAGGTAAAAATATACTCCTAAAACTGCCTATTTTGTATCTAAAAGTAGGACTTAAAAAATTAAAAGAATATTCATAAATAACTTACCAGACAACACAATTGCCACAAACTAAACAGACATGAAGACAATAGTTTTATGACATTTTACAAATACAGAGGTTGCAGAACTGACACAAGACCATAGTTTAGCATAAGAAAGGAAAGTGGAAAAGACATTTTGGCCCCTGTTGACAAGTGAAAAAAAATGTTGCTAAAAGTCTCACCAAGAACAGCGCTTGGAAAATTGAATGCTGTGATTACACCCACTATCCCAAGAGGATTCCAGACCTATGCAATCAATATAAATATATATTCATTTATATTTATAGAAAACAGATAGAGGCCAAAAAGCTTTTTATCAAATGGAGTAACACTGATGTGCAAAGCAGCAACATACCTCCAGCATTGCATGATTTGGACCTGTTAAAGAGATTAATCTGTATTAGATAAAGAAACACGATTTAACAGCTATTTATTATTAAAATATAAATTAGAAATAAAATATATTTGTTTTTTCCAAAGCAGTAGTATATTTTATCAATCAAAAAAGAGGTTGAACCTTGGTAATTAAACGCAACCTTAAGACATACTTTCTGATAGCATGACTTCCACAACATGCTTTGCAAAAACAGATTTTGCTTACTCAGATAATAAAATGAGGCGTTCTTGACTTGTGATCTGAGGGAATCATCGAGCCATTTACAGCAAAGTCACACATACCAATAATCTCCTGCATATGACACAAATTTGCTTTTTTATTAGAAAGAAGTATATATGAGAATCCACATAAATCAACAGATATTTCCATTTCGGAAATTTGTGGAATTGAAGAGTTGGATAATATTGATTGTACTTGGTTGACTGATCTACCAGTGTCATTGCATCCTCTTGAGATTTTGTAGTTTTCGAAAAATTTTCCTGAAAGTGCAGAGGTTCTACCACCCATGATTAACAATCCCTTTGATTTGATGTTTAAATTGGCAATTCAGTTTGGATGCCACTACTAAAAGAAGTATTTGCACAACCTATGTGAAAATGCAGGCAGTAGGCCGTACTTCATAGTAACTGATAATTTGGGTCTAAATGTGTACACTGTACAGGATTGGTAACTTATCTTAAACCCTTGAGGTAGGTTTTGAAACAGCAGTCTAGGACTCTAGGTGTGTGTCTTCATATAAACATGTAACAGAAGGTCCTTACACAGCTATGACAGCACCTACTGAAGTAACCTGTCAACTGCTGAAAAGTATGATCTGGAAGATTGTTTATATCAACCATAGTCGTCTACAGAATGTGAACATGTTTAAGCAGAATTTCATATCATTTTATACTTAAGTCTGTATCATTCCCATATAATTTAAACTTCAATTCAGTGGGAGAGGGAAAGAGCTTCACATCCACCCAAAATAAACTTGCAGCCAGTTTTAGACCCTTGCGGCCTTGCGAAGCATAGGAGTTAATGTATAACAATAAAAAAAATGTTATAGTTATGACAATAATTTATAATTCAATTCAACGGTATAACAACAAATTATTATTAATATTATATAAAATGATGAAGATATTGGAGCTTTCAATTTCAATCTTTCAGATAAATAGAAAAACATCTGCAATTGTCTCTCTCTTTGCTAAACAATCACCAGCAAGGAAGGAAGGAAGGAGTTCCGCGTGTAGAGAGAGATATCCCAATTTCATGAAAAGTCAATTTCACACATTAAACAACAGTGATAAACGAAACGAACTTGTAGATACCTTTGAGTTTCGATCATCCAATTACTTACTGTTCACGTCCACTATGCAAGCAATGGCAGCCTCATGTGAGATGAAGTCAACAAAACCAAAACCAAAAAAAATCTTTCCCCTTCGCGGATGACATATTGCGCGCCAGCGTAATCCGTTCGTTCAATGTCCCCATAACCTTTAAAATGCTTTCTAACACGATCTTCATCCCAATGAGGAGGAAGCCCATCTGATTTGACCTTAGCCATAACCTCAGGGTCCGGCTCGGGGGCTCTTGAAGAGCAACCTTTGCTTGCAATCCTCTCGGTATGACAAAAACAGCGTCAGGCTTTTGAAGCCTCTTGTAAAGTATACGTTGCATCCGCATGGCAAGAAAACTGAATAAAACAAAACCCTAGTAACGCACAGGGGGTCTTGGACGAGAGTAATGTACTCAATGCCTTCAACAGTATATTCTCTAAGCTTTTTGTTTTATCTGTGAGATAAAAATTTAAGAGTTGTTAAAAAAAAAAAAAAAAAAAAAAAAAAAAAAAAAAAAAAAAAAAAAAAAAAAAAAAAAAAACATATCTACACCAATAATTATCAACAAAAAAAGCAATCTTACCGCTTCCTTAGTCCAAGTATTGCCAAGGAACAAAGTGTCATTGCCCTCATTTGGTGCAGTTCCACATCGCTTCCTTCGTATTTTTCAACATGCCAAATTTCATGAATGAGGGGAAGAAGAAAGAACAAGATAGTATATACATAAGTAAAAGCACAGCCCTTTCGAAAAAGTAGGACTACATACAACAGGATTTTTCATTTCTAACAGGAACGTTTAGCTTGGTCACCTCACAAATGCAAATCATCAGCTACTTGAAGCCAGCACTTGAGACTCATGTCAAAGAGGAAGATATGGCGAGTGGCTAATATAATATGACAAGAGTTGAACCAGACTTAAAAAATTTTGCTGAAATTATTTTAACAGTCTGAATAATAATGGTACAAAATGTTGGGCTTTTAAGGAGCACATTCAAAAGTTAGGGGTCACATAGCATCTGATGTGCAGAAATGCTCTAAGGAATAGAATCAAGAATGAAGTTATTCAAAGGAAAGTTGGTGTTGCAGACATTACGAGCAAGCTAAGGGAAAAACGCTTGAGTTGGTTTGGACACGTAAGACGGAGACCCCAGGGAGCAGCGGTACGAAGAGTGGAAGAGTGGGATTAGGGAGATTTCAAACGAGGTAGAGGAGACCGAAATTGACTTGGTTGGAAGGAGTTAGAAAGGATATGAAGCAAGTGGATATACAGGAGAATGTGGCCCTCGATCATAGGGGGTGGAGGAGGAAAATCTTTGTGGATGAATCCATGGATTGATCATTTTTGGTTCATGTAGCCGACCCCACTTATGGGACTAAGGCTTTGATTGATTGATTGAGAGGTTAAAAGATCATGCAAAAAATGCCTGAATCGTACAATCAAAATCCTCGAGAAACAAAAGACTGTGAGCAAAGAATAACAGGATTTATCTTAAACAATTGCAATTACCTGCATCTTTAGAAGCTTGCCATAATCAAAGAAGTCAAACAATCTTGAAGGAGACAACTTCAGTTAGATAAAAAAAACCCAAAGATACAAAGAACCCTTCTTTGTGACAAGCCTTCTTTGTGACAAGCAACGCAACAATTTCCAGCATTTATCAGTCCACAAACACTCCACAAACACAGCACCAGACCCCATCATCATGGTTGGCATGGCATGGCACTTCTTCCACATTTTGTGTACACCTTTTCCAAAAAGAAGAGTACATTATTAGGATGTCTCTCTAACTTCATAGATCAATATTAGCATATATACCACCAGGTTAGAAAAAATTACAGTACTAACCATCTGCAAAAAAAATTTTAACAGGAGAAACAGCTGGTGAAAGGAAAGGGTGCAAATCAATAGGGGAAGGAAAGAGTGACTGAAGTTCCCTAATTTCTAGTTTACTTTGCAAAAGTAGCAAGAATTAGCATCTTGATTCCTAAGGTGAATTTCTGAACAGCGGAGTATATAAAGTAATAGCTTGCAAGCTGCTCAAGCATGAAGCATTCTAAATATGTTTGCCTGCTTTTCAATAATTGGTGAAATTTGAAGGCACAAGAAGATATATTCCTGCCAATAGCTTTATTGTCGCATTAATACGTGACTAGACTGCATTGGTCACATTGGTCTATTGGCTACCTTCATTCAAAATACCTCTATATATAAAAGGTCTCATCATAATGTATATACAAAAAGTTAAAATTAACTGTAAACGATAAAAATATGTGCAGTTTTTGTTCATCACATTGTTTCAGGTAGCGTTAAAGGTTGCATCGGAAAGAATATGAGTCAGATACTTTGATAGGCTGTGAGGGACCCTGACACAAGTCTGTGCAACCAATATCTAACACATATCATAGGCTTAGGCTTGTGTGATGTTAATAATATCTAACAGAGAAAGAAACAGCAACAATCACAGACGTTAACTTGTCCCAGTCTTTGTCTGTCCTCTCCAACCTAATAGAGAAGTGTTTAGCATGGGGCGGGCATTGACACAAGAATTTGTGTTTAAATTAGAAGCCCCGCATCATCAGCCCCTAGACCTAATGATGCTATCATCCACATTCCACAAAGAAAAGGAAGGCGACGAGGAATCGTAGATAAAGAACAAAACTTTCTTTCCAGTGAAAACATAGCCCAGAAAAGCACAGTAGTACAATGTCTTCTACTGATCACCCTAAGCTAATGAAACTCCATTCTAAGTTATCTAACTATGACACTTCACAGTGCAAAAATACATGTGAAACAATTCCCACTGCTCCATACAGAGACTCTAAGCAGTATAGCTCCACAGGAGCATATTACAGCAGTATAAACATTTTTCAATACCATGGTCCAAGCTACAGATTTATAGGGCCCTTAACAACATAAATGAAATTTACAGCAATGACAGGTGAACATCTAGGAGGCTGTTTGATGTGCCAGGGAAAAAAAAGAGTGGTAACCAAAGGGAGCTGTTAAGTATTAACTGATGTATCACAGAGATTTGTACCTCATATACCATTTATTCTGCAAGTAGTTGATTCAAAACCAAATTAACATATCATTATGACAGTCCCCCACCCCCTTCTTTCTCGCAAAAATTACTGTTAAAATTTGTAGATAAGAATTTTACCATATCTTCTTTCAGTCACTCATGAAAAATTCACTTAAAGATCACAAGATAGATAGAGCTTATCGCATCAAGTTCTTTTGATACCAAAAATGTCTACTGAAGCTGATAATTAGATTACCTGTAAAAGTTGGCATTTCCAGCCAGAACTGAAACCTTTCCAAAAATACATACAATCAGACCACAATGCTTCAGATCCTTTGCTGGAAATAATTTCTGTTTCTTTCACCAATGACATATTACTCAAGCCAACAATATATATCACCAACAGCATGCTGAGCTTCCAAAGTAAATGGCATTGCATCTGAACCCTCCCTCCTTATCTACAACCTTTATTGTAGGTATAGTGTTACACACAGCTAATGAAGTTGATGCCTTTGCACTGTTAGAAGATTCAACAAGAATGCCACCATCTTTACCAGAAGCAACAGGAAGACAGACTGTCACTAAAGCAAGCCTTAGCCGTCACACCACTACGTTCTTGAGCAGGATTAGCATCCTTTCTACCATCAGAAGTTGCTAGAGGCACTTCAGGAGCTTGACTTTGGGACAAAGCAGTTAGATTTTCCTGCTGAGGACTGGTTCAGTAATAAACCATAATCCTTTCCTACCATCTGTACTTTTTCTGCTTCAAAGGACTAGAAACACAAGCAGGAGCTGCCGCCATCAGAACTTGCTCCATTCTTATTCCCACTGTCAAGATGTGAATCAGAGAGAGGCCTTTGTAGCAATCCCCAAATCAGATGAAGGCTTTGAAGCTACCTGCTCTTGCTGCACATCCACTGAAACCTTCTTACAGTACTTGAAATTTGCTTCGCTACATCTGCTTCAAGCAGCAGCTAAATTAGCATGGCGGCCTCTAACATCCCCGTAACGGCTTTTCTTCAATTCATCTATTTCATCATCTGTCAGCCTTTGGCCAATTTCTTTTACTTCAAAGTGGAAGGTGGCAACTGAGCCATCCAATACATGCAAAAAGTGAGTATCCATCAGTGAATTGTTATACAATTAATAATCAGTGAATTGTGAAACAAGGCAACCAGTTTTCCCCAAACCCTAAACTTCCTTTTCTCTTTCCTCTCACACGGCCCTCCCCTCTCTCACTCACCTCCGTACGGCCGGCCACCCTAGGTGGCGCGTGTGTTTTTGTCGTGGTGGTTCGTGGTTAGTTCGTGTCTCTCTTCTCCGTAGAAGGTTGATTGAAAGGTTCAATCACAACTAACTAGCATTAGTGGAGGTTTAATCTGTGCCCGTGGACCAAGTAGAGGAATCACGCTTGGGGTTCTTTATCTCCCTTTGTTCTTGCTCGATCACACGTTGAATCATGCTTCAAAGGTATAATTACTTATTCTTTATGTGTTATGCATTGATCTTGGTGTTTAGATGCTTATGAATATGATTCATGCAATTCCGCTTAGCGCATCTATAGTCCTACAGTGGTTTCAGTTAGCCCTTTGCATGTACGCATATTGAATTTTAAATCTTTGATTGTCCATTATTTTTTAAATTCAATTAAGAGGGAGAATAATTTAATTATGGGTTAATTATTATTTTAAATGTGATTTAACATATGGAATGATTAAAAGTTGTTTAATTTTCTCAAAATTAGCTCTTGAAAGAACCGAATTTTGCCCCTTTATTGTTTGAATTTTCGAACCCCAAACCCTAATTTTTCAAAAATTTCGAAACCCTAACCCTTAAACTTTGATTTTTGTGTTTTGGTTTTGAATAATTTCGATTGTTATGTGGTTCATGAATTTAATTTATTTGTTTTCATGTATAAATTATGAATTTTGCATGATCAAATTATTTAATTTAAGAGTTAAATTGAATTGGGAATTAATTTCTTGATGAACCCTAATTTTAAGATTGAATATAATTTGATTTTAAAATTAATTGGACCGATTTAATTTATTTTACAAAGGGTTGTTTTAATTAAATTAAATTTTTCAAAAAAAAGGGAATTTTGGGCGGCAGCCGAGGCTGGGTGGCGTAGCCACGGTGGCTGCCGCTAGTGGTGGTCCAAGAGGGAGGGTGGGGGCGGGCAGCAGGTCTGGGCAGCAGCCCCTGTCAGCAACAACAACAACAGCAGCGCCGCAAGAATTGCGTGCCACTGCTGCTGCTGTGCAGCGTACACCGTCACGGTGTACAGCCGCCGTGGCTGGCTTCGGCTGGCCACACCACGGTGGCTGGCGCAATTTTCAAAAAAAAATATTTTATTTTAAAATTCAAATTTAAAAATCAGATTTTTATTTTGAAAAGATAATTGTCAAAATTAAATTTGTTATTTTGATAAGTTTGAAAGATATTTTATGAGCAAAAGATTCTGTATGGATAATAATTGATTAAATAATGGGATTATCCCATAAATATTTTAGGATATAATTGATTTAAAATTTTTTGATTGGCTAATAATTAGGATAGAATCTCCTAATTTTGTTAGGATAATCTTTGAGGATAAATATGATTTATCTTTTAAGTTTAAAATATGATTTGATTCTATCTCATATCTAATTTAAAGTATAAGATATTTTATTGATGGTCATGAATAATATATGATATTATCTAATTATAGTTTTAAATATGAGATATTTAGGAGCCATGTTTTCTTAATTATGAACATTCGACGTTGTGGTTTAGGAAAGCATGATGAGTGATTTATTATATGGCACTTTATAATGTATGATGTTATTTATTGCTATATAATGACTAGTATGGCCCAGTAGATTGCTAAATGCGATCTGCGCATCGTGATGTATTTTTGTAATCTAAGTACGGTCTACGTACCGATAAAGTATTTTTGTAATTTTATTTTATTTAAATAGTAAATAGAATAGAGTAGAATTACATGTTGCAGTTAATCCAAGAAGCCCATGAAGTGAAGGCCCTAAGGAGCGAGTGGATGAGATCCATGAAAGTTCCAGTGTGAGCATTTACTTTATTAGTTTTCTTAAGGATTAGGGGCTATGATATGTCTTATTTATGCTTTCAGTATATTATGCATGTTATATTTTATTGATGTTTTGTGATGATGCGCTAGAGTTCACTAAATAATCACAAACATAATGAATCTAGGTCCCGGAAATATTGAGGTTGCTTTTCCAATTAAAAATCCAATAAACCTTTGATCATTATGATAGGTCATGCCAAAGCTGGGTGTCATTTTTATCTTGGGAAAGTTGGGGTAAATCAAGTTTTACAATTTTATATGGTTATACTCAACAAGGTTACCTAAAGCGTTTAGAACCTTGAAGAAAAGAGTAATAATTAAACATGTGATGGTTAATTATTCAACCAAGAGTTACAAGAGTTGTAATCAGTTAAGAGTTTACTCACCTTGAAAATGTAATGGTTGATGGTAGGGCCAAAGTCCGGTCAATTATTACACGAATAAAGGATCTTAGAATTACTTAATTCAATTGGGACAAATTAATATTGAATAAAGTGTTAAAGTTACCTACGTTTTAATTTTAGGTGCTTTAAAGATAAACATAATTGAATTTTGCATTTATTAAATAAGTAATATTTCGTTCTAATTTTATTTATATATATAATCTCCTCGATTGAAACTAAAGTCGAGAAACGTTCTCAAAAGGTTAAAAGATAATCCATAAACGTATATTCCAATTTTGCTAAGATGGTACTAAAAAGGCAAGTTTTAGAAACCAATGTCACATGTCTAAGGTTGGTTTTATCCAACTCAAAACGTTTGAGTAAAATTCCAACAACATCTTCATTTTGAAAAGTGTTTCAAGGGATATAATGAGATGGGAGGTATAAACCCTCTAAAAGACAATTATAGAAGTCCAATAAAATCTCTTATCTTCAATATGATTGGATATAAGAAAGTGATTGGAAATTTCTATGATCAAAAGTTGATCAAATGACATTTTTCTCCATCTACTTCATATGGAGTTAAATAGTTGATTAAACTCTAATATGAATAATGATTGAATAAGACTTAGAAAAATCGAGAAAAGTGCTTAAAGAAGTTAAGCAAAGTATCATTTTGAACCAAAGAGAAATGTTCTAAGTGGCTCAAATGGGAAAGGTTTAGAATATATGAGGATTGCATTAAGAAGTTACAGGCCAAGAAATGCAAGCAAGTTGCTACTTCTAAGACCTAAAACTACTTGTATGCTAAAAGTTGTTATGAACAACAAATGTTTCCAATTAAATGGACCAATTCCAATTGGTTAGAAACTACCTCAAACAGTTGGAAGGTAAAAGAATGGAAATGTTCCAATTTAAGAAGTATATTATAGAAATTAGATTAGCATATTACTACTTCTTGGACATGGGATGTCATGTTTAGTTCTCTCTCATTGAGAATGTGGTTGAACTGAATGAAGAAGTTTGACTAAGGGAGAAATAAATCTACAAGTTTAGAAGCAATTGTTGCTACTTCACAAATAGAATCTACAAGTTTGGGAGCAAAAGTTGCAACTTTACAAGTACAACATATATTTCACCTAACCTAGTTATTGGCTAGAATTAAATAATGTTAATCATTCTTGCCATTATCAAAACACCAATCAAGGTTATTAATTACTAAGCATTGAAGATTCAAAACATGGAGTAAATGTTATTCTATGCTTATTTGAATCAAAGTGTGTTTTGAAAACCTAAATAGGTTTAAAAGTTCTATATGGTAGATATAGATAAACCAGTTCTATTGGGTAAGACCTATTGTAAGCAAAAATGGACAAGGAAGAAAAATGTTTTCTAAGCAAAGCAAAGACTTTTTGTTAGAGGATTCAACTAATTCATAGTATGACTATGACTACGATGAAACCTTTACATTAGTCATGTTGCCAAGATCTATTAAAGATATTTTAGTGATTTCTACCTTATGAGATTTGGTAGATGGATTTCAAAACGCTTTCTTGAAATTGTTCATGAAGGAAGATTTGTATATGATACAATCAAAATGATTTTGAAAATCCAATAATCCTAGGGATTCATAAAAGCTCCATTAATGGATTGAAGTAAGCATCATGGAGTTAGATTCTTCAATTTTTGTGAATTAATCAAAATTGTTTGATATTCTCATAAAATGAAGAAAAATGTTATGAAGTCTTCTTGATCTAGTATAAATAGCAATTATTCATTGCTTGAAGATTCAAGTAATGGCTAATGCATTTTGTATGAAAAACCTTGAAGAGGAAGATGAGTACAGTTGGGATTCAAGATCTATAGAGATAGGTTTTGAAGTATGTTTGAGCTTAGTTAAGAAGCTTATACTGATAAGATTCTTATAAGGTTCAACATTATATTTAAAGGAGTTTCAATCCTATGTAACATGGCATATTGCTTAAAGATTCAATGCTTTGAGAAAGGTTGATGAAATTAAGGTTTTGAGTGATGCTCCTTATGCAGTTTGCAAACGATGCATCATGCATGTCATGGACTATACTTGTCTATTTGATTCACGTGTTTTATAAACAAGTGATGATAAGATTTCAATCAAAATCCAACGTAACATTGGAATACAAATTAGAAATTCCAAAGTTCCTTGCGAAAGAACGAAAGAAGATTCTTAGTGTATGGAGATGAATATTATTATAAAATTTAGAAGTTGCAAAATTCATGTTCATGAGAATGTCTCATGAATTGTATTAACTAAACCCCTTCCATGGCCAAGGTATGAGAGTCATACTAATGTTATTAGATTGAGGCAAATTATGTAATTTAAGTTGTATATGTTTTGAGAAAACATATTACATAAGTAATACATCAACTTGCAGAATTATGCTTATCAATTGAAACAAAGTTACAATCTTATTTAATTATGGTTTTGATATTAAATAAAATGTCCAAAATAATTATGAATTGATGGGCTCATCAGGTTGATGACCTGATGAATGAAACCCCACAGGTGAACTAAATTCATATATTATTTAAGTTCCTAGTTCGAAATCATTAAAGTGGACATAAATGATTTCAATAAATGGACTAGCCTGTAAGATTGATTGGATAACACAGTTTC